TTTTTATATTTTGTTATATTTATTAAAATATTAAATTTTTTAATATTTTATTTGAACTTGAACACTTTTTCTGTTTTTTTTTCAAACATTTTTATTGCTATTTTGTTCCACTCAAATTTTTGTTGCAGTTTTTCCTCAGGCTATACTGGCAACTAAATTACTTTTTTAGTTCGTTGTTACAGATTTGTGACGTCCCGACCATCGACAATGTGTCGGATATATGCGAAAGGTCTGTGATATTTTGGCACGAGTAACACCAAGAGATTTTTATATTGCAAAAGCTAAAATCAAATCAGTGCGCGCGCACCCCATACAAAAATCAATAAAATTTTATTTCTCTCATAAGGTTTTGCTAGGTTTTATGTGATTCTGCAGTAGTATTACTCTTTATCCTTGTTTATCTTCTTCATCTCTGAATTCGTAAATATTTTGTTAATCCCTACCACTACATGGGTACTGCAATCCATGGTAATTCAATCATGCCTACACAATTTTATAAATGAAGTTTATCTGTATGGAATTTATATTTAGACAAATTTCAGTTTGAGATATCAAATTATATAAAAAAAAAATTATATAAAAAAAAAATTTTATATACAAAAAAATATGTTTACGAAAAAATTTTTATTAAAAACATAACTATTAGAAGTCAAACAACATTGATTAGATTTTTATCAATTTGGGGTTTTGTGCTTAGAATTATAAATAGAATAAAAAATGCAAAAATAAACTCAAATATAATAAGTAGAAAATCAGAATGAATTTAAACTTGTATAATTTTTACAGCCATTCCTTTTTTATTACTATATTTTAACTGTACAAAAGTATCCAAACATCTTCAAAGTAATAATAATTTATTACTAATAAAATTTGTTATTTCAATATCCTTCATGCTGTTGTGAACTAAGGGTAAATTAAGTTTATTAAAACGTTTGTAACGCAGTGCAAAAAATCATATATATTTTTGATTAAAACAATATGACTGTCTATCTCAAGGACAATCAATCCATTTGTAGCCACTGAAAATTTACGCATCTATATTAGTAGTGAGATTTTATAACCGCCTATCGGCTGTACTATATTAGTGACGTATAAAGTAAGGAAGTAACTTTATTTTATAAAATTAGTTTTTTGACCAAAAAGTGGTTGATCAAAGCTCGAAATTCTTAGTCATTTGTAAAAAAAATTAAAGAGGGAGTTCTTAAAAACTGATATTGCTTTGTTATTGTGTGATCCATATTTAGCAATATTTACTTCTGAATTTATGAACCCAATGACATTCTTTGAGACAACACTTGTCTAATGCATACTGACAAATAAGCTATTTTAGTTTGAAGAATTAAAAGAAATTAAAATCGCAGAAAAAAAGCAAATAATGAGTATGTACCTACATAATACTTAGTTTTAAATTTTATTAAAAGATTTACTTGGTTAGAGTATAGAAGGGTCAAAAACTGGTTTGTAAAATAACTATGGATGCTATTAAACCATTATTTCATAGGAATTTAAGCGTAAAAAACAAAATTCTTGCTAAAATACAGCATCAATTGCTAATAAAAAAAATCAGAAATATCATTTAGTATTTTAAGATATATATTAAAAGGGCCATCTGATTGTCAGAAATGAAGCTACGCCCAAAAACTTAAGATAGTTGATAGCATAATACTCAGGAACCTATTTACATCGATCCATCAAAAATCCAACATGATGACGAAGGCAAATATTTGGGTGTTACACTATATGTCAAATTGCGCTTGAAAGCACGGCATATTTAAACCGACAATATATTAAAGTGGTTGACGATGTGTTGGAGTCTCATATAAAATAATTTAAAGAAATGAATTGATGGCTTTTAATGTTAAATACTTATGTGCATTAATTTGCAATTATTGGATTTACATATTAAATTTAAAACAAATTGGTTTGGACTCAGCGAAAGTAGCACATATTTAGTTCGAGCGCATTGTCATGCTGTTTTCAAGCACTATTTGTTTTCATGTTAGTATATAAAGACCAATTCAATAAATGTGATATTAATTTATTTTAATATTTGATAAAAAGTGATTGATTTATTAAATCAAGTGTAAAATTTTATTATACAAATGCACTTCTATGACACTGCGCAAGATTGATTATAGTCGAAGTTTCCAGCATTATTTTCAATTCTAAATACGTCATGGACCACTTGGTGTTCAAGAGGATGGAACAAACTCTTCAACAAACACTTGTTTAATTCATTCTTTTAGCTTAACAATTGGCTTTCTGTTTAAAGTAGAAAATCCGTCAACAAATGAAAGTGGCATTACGCTTCATATTCCTTCTTCATTAGATATATTGGAAACTAGCTTACAAAGATCGATTCGAATGACGAATAACTCCGGTGTCCAAATTGCCATCGGAAGCGAAAACATCGAAATATACCTATGTATAATTCTCCCCCAATATACTTACCTTCTTCATTTTCTTATCGATATCTGTCGGCCTTCTCTTCACAACTTCAAAATCCTCGTCCGATTTTCTTTTCTTCGCCTTCTTCTTCTCTTTCACTATGGCCACTTCTACAGCTAAAGT